CCTAGCCCTTTCGATCAAGGTCGGCGGCACTGGCCGTCAGGCCTCTCCAATCCTGAGAATTCTGGCACGCTTCAAGATGTTCACGCGGTTGCCCCCCAACGGGGTAATTGCAGGGGCCTGTGAAGAGGGATCTTGGAGGGAGGGTGTATTTCAACATCGTTGATGAGCCTTGGGTTTACACTGGTCCTCCTCCTCCTCCTCCTCCTCCTCGTCCTCCTCCTCCTCCTCCCCCCTCCCTCGCATCCCTTTCCTCCTTCTCCTCCTCCTCCCGCATGGCGCGCTCTACTCTGCGTCAGTTTGCTGCTGTCACGTCTCCTCTTCCTCCTCCTCCTCCTCCTCCTCCTCCTCCTCCTCCTCCGTTTCCTCGTCCTCCTCCTCCTCCTCCTCCTCTTTCCCCTCCTCCTCCTCCTCCATTCCTTCTCCTTGTAAATAATTTCTCCCTGTCGCACCCCGAAGCCAATTTTTAGGGCGGTCCGCGGGTTTCGCCTGACACTGCGTCACCCCTTTATGACCCTCAGGCTTACAAACTGACAACAGGTTCACAGATGGAGGGCGGGTCGGTTTCATAATGTGGCTCTCGCCTTAGCGCCGCGCGCATTTGTTTTAAAAACTGTAGAAGATTCACGGGTTGAAGGCGACCAGTGTTCAAAATGTGGCTCTCGCCTTATCACAGCGCACGTTCGTTAGACGCAAGCGCTTCACGGATTGAGGGCGGCTCCTTTTCAAAATGTGGCTCTCGCATGATAACAGCGCACATTCGTTTCAAACATTTGGAAGAGTTTCACGTAGTGAGGGCGCTTCCTTTTCGAAATGTGGCTCTCGCCTCAGCACCGCGCACATTCATTTTTTAAATCTGCAGGAGTTTCACGGGTTCCCATGATCAGCGTACCAAAAATGGCGTTGTGGAAGGATTCCGGATTATGACGGCGCAGTAGTTACGTTGATTCGTGGTGTTGAAGTCCCAAGAGCGGCGTTCTGGCACGATTCAGGATCGTCAAGACGCAACAGTCAAGCTGATCCGTGGCGTTGGAATCCCGAGACCGGTATTCTGGCATGCATCAGGGTCTTCGAACGGTTGCCTTCCAACGAGGCAGTTCCGTCAGTGGAAATGAACCCTTGTAGGGGCCTATGCAGAAGGGAGCTTGGAGGGACAGTTTATTACAACATCCTTAATGACGCTTAAATTTACACTGGTCCTCCTCCTCCTCCTCCTCCTCCTCCTCCGCCTCCGCCTGCTCCCCCTTCATCCATCACATCCTCTTGCTCCTTCTCTTGCTGTTCCGCATCATGTTCCCCCTGCTCATCCTGCTGCTCCTCCTACTCCTCCTCCTCCTCCTCCTCCTCGTCCTCCTTCTGCTCCTTCTCCATGCTTAGCGGACACTACACTAAAACGATATTCGCAAACCGTTGCAAACGGCTGAGTCTGCAACCAGAACGCCAACGCAGTGTCATTGTGTCCCGTGGGGCAAGGAAGATCCGCACCAACACTACCATCTCAAGGAGAAGAGGGGGCTCGGCGTTGTCGTGTGGTGTGGCTACGTGTTTCGGGGATCCGCTCGAGATACCTTCAACCAGCGCGGGGACCATCTCGCCACCAATGGTAGTTCCGCTGATGATTTTATTATCGCTCCTCGATTGGATGGCGAAGCCGACATGTGAAGTAACACGGGCGCACCGACGCCCCTCCTGCTCGGCGTCTAGTGCTGGGAAGCACGGCGCTGATACAGGGAAGGAAGCGCGCGCGACTGGAGCATGCTGCAAGCGGAGCGAGGCACCATGGTGCACACACTGGAGGTTATCCCTCCCCACCTCCCCCGTCCCCTCCGCCTGTCATGCGTGCAGCGTGCGCAAACGACTCTGGAAAATTGACGCCGCGGCATCCTAGGTCAAAGTAGAAGAGGGCGGGAGGACGAGGAAGTGGTCTTCTGGCAACAACTCTCTGAGGCTCTGGTCGCGTCCTGCGGCGGGCGAGCTTGCACGCGCCTCTTACCCCATGGTGGACAAGCGGGGCCGTTGGAAACGAGGGGGGAGGAGGGAGGGGTGATGGGTGATGCAGGGGGATAAGGAGGGGAAGACGACCGACCATCGGGAAGGGCGCTGCCGACGACGCCAATGGTCCAGGAACGTCGGTCCTCAGCCGCTGTACCACCCTTACGGGCTGCCGCACGTGCCACCTTCTGGGGTGGGCTTGCGGCGGGCGAGGCGCTCGCAGGGCTCGCCACAAGAGGCGCGAATGACGCCGAGTTTATCTGCATCGCACCACCTCTACCAAGCTCAGCTACATCAACGCGCAACGCGGAACCCGCAGTGTGTTGACACGGAGCTCAACAACTTGTTTGGGGTGGAGAAGGAGGAGGGGCAAGAGGGAGGGGACGATCGTGCAAAGCCAACACATATACTATTGCCCTCTGCTGTCCCCTCGGCTGCGTCCCAGGGTTGGCATCTTCAGAGTCGAAAGTGACAGCCACTGAGGAAGGAGTGGAGGAGGAGGGGGAGGAGCAGGAAGAGGAGGGCTGGGCTTGTGCGGACCATGATGGGCCATGATTATTGCGAGAAAGCTGCCTAAAAGATGTCAGGTGACCATCGAGGTTGATACTAAGACTGCTCTCAAGTTCATGCCAAGAAAATACACAGCGAACGAAAACCGGCCTTGTGTTACGGTGCTGAACCTCATGTATGATGAGTTCTGCAGGAAATGGGGGATCGTGTGCAAACACGTGCGCGCTGACAAAGGATACCATTGGAACGAGAGTGCTGACAGCATTGCCAAGCGCATGTCGAAGCACCCCCCCGCAGCCCGCCAAGCGACATAGTCAAATGTCTCGAGTATCAGGTTAGGAGGGAATGTATCTGGGAGGGGGCTGTGTCGAAGCCTGACAGCGAGGTTCACTTACACACACGACTATTGTCGGGGGGCTTTCGAGTTCAGCAGGCAGTTGCCATCTATTTGCGGCGCCCAGTAAAAGATCCAGATCAAGGTAAGCAGGTCGAGGCCCTGGTTGGATGTAAGGTGGCCACCATCATTGCGATGATGCGCAAGGATGAGGAAGAAGTTGTTGGTAAGGAGGCCGCTCAAAGTCGGAAGGAATCGGTTGCTAGAGCTGCGCATCAGCAGGGGCACTTTAGAGATAGCCGCTGGCCTTCTCAATAATGCAAGACAGCCGCACGCCTGATCGACGCAAGGTCGCGGACAACTTTCTGGTCCGCCACCGAACAGGGAAGTCTCGGGTGCATGTTGTGTCTACCGTCCAGTGCAGTAGGCCAGAGTGGGAGAGGCTGAGCATTGCATCAAGCAGCAAGATGTTCGCGTCTTGCATTCTGACCCCGAGTTCTCACTGTCGCTGTGCAATCCAAACTCTGAGATGAGAATATCGCAGTTCTGCACGCCCCACACAGCAAGCCTGCCTGAGGTGCGAGAGAAGCGGTGGGAGCAGGCTAGGGAGTTGCTGCCGAAGTGGAGGTGATCCATAATCCTCGCAGGTGCTAGCGCTAGGCTTGGGAGTGTTAAAGACGGCATGGCCTTAATCGGTGTGAGTATACTAATGGTACGGAGTTCAGAGGGCTCTTGCGTCGCATTGAACACGGTGTAGCTGATACCAAAATGAATTACAAAGAGGGGCATCTTTGGGCCTCCCACAATGGAACCCTGCATAAACTCGATTGTATCAGCTTGGGACAGAGCTGGCTGGATCACCGCACGCAGGTCGCCATGGACTACAGCTTTGGTGCGCAAAGGCAGAGAGATGATCAGATCCCTGTTGCTGCCCAGCTCGAGTATCAGCTTGTAAAGAACGTCAGAGCCTCAGGCGGCGCTAAGCTTAACCCTCGCAAGCTGGTCTATCGCGGGGCGAAGAAAGCCTTCGCTCAGGCGCGCGAAGAGGTGCCCGTGTGTCCGTCACCTCTTGGGGTTCACCGGCGTGTGAGATGCTTCCCCTTCCCCAAACCCCTCCCCCGGAAGCCCGGTCCGGTCGATTTGGAGGGGGGGCGGGGTGCATCTCCTGGGGACCGCTGGAACGCGTCACGGGGGACAGAAGGCACCAAGACAGGCCAAGAGGGCCCCAAGAGGCCCTCTGGACGGCGGTCCAAGAGGGCCACGAGCTGGAGAAAGATCGATCCAAAACGCTCGCACGAGTGCCCCAGGAGCGCCCAAGAGCGCCCCAAGAGCGCCCCAAGAAGGCTTCAAGACATCATTTTGGAGTTCCCGAACCCCTCTTTTCGAGCCACGGGGCGCAAGACTGTCCCAAGAGGCCTCCCAACCCCCCCCAAAGAGCCCCAAGTGGGCCCCAAGAAAGTGCCCCAAGAGGCTCCGCGCGGATCCTCAGAGAGCTCCAAGCTGGCTCCAAGAGACCTCCCAGAAAACGCTCCCAAGGCGGCTGTGACACTGCATGATTCTGCACTGGCCTGATTACGGCAACTCGCCTGGCGATATGTTTCTGGATGGGCTGGTGGGATTTGTTGTTCCGTCGCGGCCGCAAGCGGAAGCGCAGGCGGTGTCCGAAGTCAGCCCGGGCTACGAACCAAACCTAATTACCTAAGCGCGCGAACTAACGGCCGCCGGTTGGTGGGGATACTTTTTGGTCAACAGACTCGCGAGGCGGGTCGAAAGCCGTCCGAACACTAGTCGGGCCGCGACTAGGCAGCAGGAGAAGAAAGGCAAGCGAAGCGAGCGAGCGGGCAGCCACTCAGAAGGAGAGCCAGATTCGATACGCTGGTGCGGATACTTTTTGGTCAACAGGCTCGCGAGGCCGGTCGAAAGCCGTCCAAACACTAGTCCGGCCGCGACTAGGCAGCAGGAAGAAAAAGGCAAGCGAAGCGAGCGACCGGGCAGCCACTCAGGAGAAGAGGCAGAACCGATACTCCCAAACCCTGTGGAACTGGTGGGGATACCAGGCGAGGTAAGCTCTATAGATTATCTTACTTGTTCACCTTGCATTCGGGAGGAGGTACACGGATGTGCAGGATTGGGTCGAATTCTCTCAAGACCGTGAAGGGATAGACACACCGGCTTAGACGCTTAGCTAGGACGTGGCAAATGCCCCTGTCGTTGGGACCTCAGTGCGGCGACGACCATCCATCACTGGCTGGACATGGTGCGGGCGCTCAAGGTTGTCGGCGTGCTTGGTGGGCCCCGGTGTGAAAAGTGGAGTGCTGCTACAATGTCCTCGAAGGAGGACGTGGACCCAGGCCTCTTAGATAAAAGGAGCTCTCCTGGGTTTGAGAAGCCTCAAGGACAAGGAAAGAAGGCAAGAGGACCTCGGTAATGTGTAGCTTCGCAAGATGTGCAGATTCCAGATTGCTTGCGCCGCTCACGACATCCCAGCCATCATTGAAAACCCAGCTACCCCTGTTTGGCGACCGCAGGCGCCATCGTCATGGCCTCTGGAAGAAGTAACATGCATCATGAGTCTCACTGGTGCGGAGGCCGTGTACCTTGCTAAGTGTACGTGTGATTGCAAACATGAAAAGCCCACGTCCTTTCTCACAGAGCATCTGCCTTGTTCGGGAATCAGGGTCAGAGAAGGTTCTGAAGGGGGCAGATGCAGCCACCTGGGAGGGCACTCTAGAGCCCTTGGTCGTGGACCAAGGAAGGAGTTCGTGACGATTGCTCTCGAAGATTACCCGTCGGGGGGTTCGGAAGCTCCTAGGAAGCTGCCCGTGGACTGGGGCCGCCCAGAAAGCTAGCACTGGAGGTCAAAATTGGGAGGCCCCCCTAGAAGCTCTGGGGTTCTACAACCCCATGGACCCCTATTTCAGTTTCGAGCGGCAGCACGACTATGCCCGAAAGTGGGGGTCTCGCGGCAGCAACGACAGTGACATTCGAGCGGACTGAGCAGGCCGTGCCAGGCTGTGGAGACCTGCTCAGCCCTGTGTCGCGAGCCGTCTCCTGCCGTCCTGTTGTCACGTGTTGCGTGCTGAAACTCACGCGCTTCGGAGTCACCCGACGCTGGACACCCCCAAAGCCAGACACCAGAAACCAGGAGGAACCGAGAACAAACAATAGCGCTGTGTGCGCATCAATCCCTATGTGTTTCCAACGGCCACTTATGATATGAGGCCTCACACGCTGACTCCAGCAAGACAGGCGCGCAGTGCACACAAGGCCAAGCACGTGCGGCGACGTGGCTGATAGAAAACCTCCCCAGAATCCATCAAGCCAGAGGCGGAAGCAGGGGCGCAAGGGAGGAGCAGGGAGGGAGAAGGACAGAATACCACGAGATTCTTGGTGAACGCCTGAGGGTGGTGAAAACACACGGAGCTCAACAAGTATATTGAAACCGTAGGTCTGGCACGATGCGTTTGCCGATACGTGGGCCAACACATGCCAAGCCAGCACGCAGCGTGTCCAACATGGGCGCGGTAACCACGGCAGGTACTGCATCTCAACGCGGGCGTATCAGGGCAGCTATGGACGAAGTCGCCCAGCCTCCAGCCTGTCGCTGCGCAGTGCGCGATGCGCGCACATCTTCGCGTTCTCGCGCCGCCCCCCCCCCCGCCCCAGGAGAAAGAGAGCGGGGGCCCAGATCGCGAAGCGCGGCCATGTCGGGGCCACGGCGAGTCACCAGTACGTCTGGCCTCGGGCTCCGCGCAGGGAAAGCCAGGTGCGCAGGCCAGCCGCTGGAGGCAGCGGGCACCCAGGGGCACGTCGTCCTCGCCCCTCGTGCTCCTTCTTCTCTGCCCCGCCCTGGAGCGGGAAAACACAAGTGGAATCCCCCGGGAACTTGACATCGGGCGGAGACCGGGAGTCCGTGGGTTAGAGGGACTGCGAGCATGAAGGGCATATCCTTCTCTTCTTCCTCCTCCTCCTCCTCCTCCTCCTCCTCCTCCTCCTCCCCCTCTTCTGCTGCTTCTTATCCTCATCATTATAACGATTCGTCTTACGAATAGTACTATGATGCGTAGCATTATTGTTACGACTAGTATATTTGTAATTTGAGTGTTACCAGTACTGGTCGTATATAGAAGAGTGTTACTATTAGTATGACGAGTGTTGTTATTCGTGTTCGTTTCCTTCTTACTGTGATTAATCAAACGATTACGATTAGTTGTTGTCGCGCTAGCATTATTCGCATGATTAGTCTTATTATTATCAATAGTAGTAGTATTGTTGCTTGCTGCTGTTGTTCAGATTACTCTTCTTATTCATAAAACGCGTATTCTTCGTATCATTACGCTTATGAGTATTATTAGCATTAGCTTTCGCATTATTGTTCTTATGATTCGCATCATGAATGATATTATTCCTCCTCCTCCTCTTCCTGCTCCTGCTCCTCCTCCTCCTCTTCCTCCTCCTCCCTCTCCTCCTCCTCCTCCCTCCCTCCCTCCCTCCCTCCCTCCCTCCCTCCCTCCCTCCCTCCCTCCCTCCCTCCCTCCCTCCTCCCTCCCTCCTCCTCCTCCTCCTCCTCCTCCTCCTCCTCCTCCTCCTCCTCCTCCTCCTCCTCCTCATCCTCCTCCTCCTCTTCTCCCCTCCTCTTCCTCCCCCTCCCTCCTCCTCTTCCTCCT